AGCAACTTTCCTCTTTTTTTAATTAAAGTTTAGTATAGTGCAGTAAAGTGTAATATAATCAATGAAACTACAATTCCCACCTTAGACACCGAATATGCTAACCCGTCCTGGAGCCATGGGGCTTTTTCCTTGTAACCTGTGTGCATCTCTCTAACAATGTTCAGGTATTTAGGGCGTATCATTCTCATTAGAAACATCTAGGTTGTTGCTCGTTGTATCTCTTTCTGCAGCTGGAAAGTTTCAAGGTCCGTGTGTTGCCAAGCACGATTTGTTGACCTTGTATCATAAATTAAGAAGTGATGGACTCGGCAAGAAAAATCCAAGTGAGACTCCCTGCCCACGAGATTGTGAGGTTCCGTTTCACTTATTATTTAGAGTTATATTTCTGTAGGCCTTAGTATTTTTTTCTCTTTTTAAGTATAGTTGTTTTTAAGTCTAAAGTAGATATTGCATATCAGGATGCTACAAAAAAAAAATCTGTAAAATGGGGAGAAGTTGGAAAAAAGGCTTATTTTGAAAGCAGCTGAATTTTGGAGCCTGGTGACCATTTGCCTGCTGTTTCTTGGTGCTGTGATCAGCAGAGAATCACTGGGCTTTCCACGCTGGGCTGTGTGTTGCGTGGGAAACAGGCTGGTTGAGCTGCACGTCTTGCTGTCCTTCACCTGTGGAAGTGTTGGGAGAGACAGCGTCACACGTGCTCAGAGCATTGCTGGGAGGGGGTGTTTGCTGATTTTACACGCCTCTGATAAAGGAGATTCCACAATCTTACAGGCAGCTATTTCTAGAGAGAGACCTGTAGAGAGACCTCTTCCTAATACCTAACCTGCGTTGTCTTCGCTGTAGATTTAGCTCCATCTTCCTCCTCCTGTACTCGATGAGACAGATTTGTCAGTATATAGTTATATGAAAATAGTTGGCAGGTTTGTCACTAGCTACCTCTCTTTTAGTTTAAGCGGTTTCCTGACAGCCAGACACTACCCCCCATTTATTTCCGTCATGCTCTTCTGGACTGTCTAGTTTATAGGACTCCTCTGAGGGTGACGGAGCCCTGGAACAGGCTGCCCAGAGAGGTTGTGGAGTCTCCTTCCCTGGAGATATTCAAGACCTGCCTGGACAAGGTCCTGTGCAGCCTGCTGTAGGTGACCCTGCTTCGGCAGGGGGGGTGGCCTAGATGACCCCCAGAGGGCCCTTCCAACCCCGAACATTCTGTGATTCTGTGATTCTGTGATTCTGTTCTGTCTGCACTTTTCATCAGCAGTGGTGCCCAATGCTGTGTTTTTGGGGTGTTGCCAGCACCAGGTCATTAGTGTAAAATGCACTGCTGTGTTTTACCTCCTCTGCTCCTGGAAGAGCCTCTAGTATTTTACGGCGCTTTCCGCGGCGTTACATTGCTGGTGCCTATTTATTTGTGATCTGTGGAATTTGTTAGACTCTTGTACTGCCTACACAGTTGTTTCTTGTCGTGGTTTTTGTGTATGTGATTTCTCCTGCCAAGTACTTCATAGCTGTTTTTATTGAATTTCATCTTGTTGACTTTGGGCAATTCAATCACTTTCCATGAAAGCCTGGCCTCTAAAGGACTGTGTGAATTTGTGACGTAATCTCTGTTGCATCATTCAAGTCATTACTGAAAAGGGAAGCAGAACCTCTTTGGTGACCTCAGTTAAAACGCGTTTTAGTTTGATAATGAGCTGCTATTAGAGTTTTCTCCTGTATAGTTCTTGAGCAGCTTCGTGCCCACTTAACATATGCAGCTGCCACAAAGGTGTGTTAAAGTTCAGATAAATTACACCTGCTCTTTGCCTTAAAACATCTCTCCAAGAAGAAAATTACAATAGTTTTCACTTACTTGTTTATTGTGTTGGTTGTTTCTTATCATCTTGTTGTCTAGATGTTTACAAACTATCTGTTTCAAAGAATGTATTCTAATATAGTTGTGGATTTTAGAAGTGGCCTGGTTGACTGTCTAATATTCCCTGAACTTCTCATTTACAAAAATTGGTACCAGTTTCCTCTTTTCCATCTGGCCAAGGTCTTCCACAATGTATTTTTTTCAAATAATATTTTTAAGTTCTGGGAGACATCTGGTGATTATAGAGATTGGTTAAGCAAGGTCTTCAAGTATTTTAAGTTACCCAGATTTTGCCAAGTAGAATACAGATTATAGACAAACTGGTGATAGGTGGATGATGAGGTGGACCAAAAACTGGCTGAACTGAACTGACAGGCTCGAAGGGTTGTGAACAGCATCACAAAGTCCAGTGGGAGACCAGTTACTGGTGGTGTACCCCAGGGGTCCATACTGGGGTCAGCAGCATGTTCATCATACAGCCTCAGGTTGTGTTGGGGGAGGTTTAGGTTGGACATTAGGAAAAATTTCTTTACCGAAAGAGTGGTCAGGCATTGGAACAGGCTGCCCAGGGAAGTGGTGGAGTCCCCATCCCTGGAGGTGTTCAAAAAACGTGTAGATGTGGCACTTTGGGACATGGTTTAGTAGGCATGGTGGTGTTGGGTGGACAGTAGGACTTGATGATCTTAGAGGTCTTTTCCAATCTTAATGATTCAATGATTGATTGTATGATTCGTTAAGCACCTGGATTAGCGCACAGGAGGCTGCACCCTCAGCAGATGTGCAGATGATGCAAAACTGGGAGGAGTTGTTGCCACACCAGGTAGTTGTGCTGCTGTCCAGAGGAACCTCAGCAGGCTGGAGAAATGGGCCAACAGGAACCTCATGAGGCTCAGCAAATTGAAGTGCCAAGTTCTGCCCCTGGGGAGGAATAACCTCAGGCATCAGTATATGCTGGGAGCATCTGGAAAGCAGCTCTGCAGAAAAGAACCTGGTGATCCTGGTGGACACCAAGCTGAACATGAGCCAGCAACAGGCCTTTCCGCCAGCCACTTGGACTGTATTCAGAGAAGCATTGCCGGCGGGTCGAGGAAGGTAGTCCTTTCCCTCTGCTCAGCCCTGGTGAGACACATCTGGAGTGCTGGGTCCAGTGCTGGGCTCGCCAGTATGAGACAGATGTAGGCGTGTTGGAGTGAAGATGACTAAGGGCTTGGAGCATCACTCACAAGGAGAGGCTGAGAGAACTGGGGTGGTTTAGCCTGGAGAAGAGAGAGCTCAGAGGGATTCTTAATGACGTGTATAAATACTTGTTAGGTTGTTATCAAACTCATTTTAAAAATGGTAAAAAATGAATAAAAGACTGTTTGGTGAAGGGAGTGTTTTTAATATGCAAAGGCATACTTTTCCCCCTGAAAAGTGGTTCTTTGCCATTTGATTTCTCAATATCACTGCTCTGGCTGTCAAGGCTTCTTGTTGCTTCTGTCTCCCAGAAGTGATATCCAAAGAACTGATGACTGAATGATTAAATGTGGTTTGAGCTTGGGAGGGTTAGGGCAGATCTTTTTAAGTAGAACTTATGTTTAAATGTAAGCCTGCTTTTGCTGCTAGTTTGAACTGGAATATGTCTTTGTCCTCACTTTACCCTAATGATTTTGTATAAAATGATATCAGATGTTCACATTTTTGATGCAGAATAATAAAATACGACGGTAGTGGTGAAGGGAAAGTAAAGAAAATGGGTTGTTTACACAGTAAACATTATAAATGTCTTGTGTGACCTAATTTGAAGTCACATGCCAGAGGACTTAGTAAAGGGAAATAGTCTCATTGTAAGACTTTTATTCTCTGAAAGTCATTGTAAACTTTTCCTATTCAAATTTTTATCACGCTTTCTGATCTGTATCAACACGCAGCAGCCACTGTTCTGTGTGTTCATAACCTTCAAATATGCACTGCTGCCAGCATTTCCATTGCTTTTCACTTAGCTGTATCCTATTGGGAGCAAAACTTCTTCAACCCTTGAAAATAAGTGCTAGTGTTTTCTAAAACACTTGCAGTTTTTCGATAAGGTTTTTGCCTCCTGAATGATGAATATGGGCCAGAGTATCTGGAATGAAACAGCATTTTCTCACTCTGGAGCTGTATGTGCAAAGATGGAGTGGATTAAGACAGGTTATGAGTTTAAAGCACGGTGTAGTTGTTCCTGAAGCAGCTGCATGTACAAGCAGTTCTACAGTCAAGGTACAGCAGCTGGTTGGTGTCTCCAGGGGATGCCTTCATCCTTTCTCCTCTTCTCTGCTCCTGGTGTGGAGATCTTCCCGCCTTCCCGTTTGCCTGTGCCTGCTCCAAAGCTTTTACACCCTTCCAGTGATCTCCTTATCTCACCAAAGTGGCAGAAAACGCTCCAAAGTTTTGATTTTTTTTCCTTTTTTTTCCCTCCTTGGGTTCGTTTTCTTCAGCATTCATGGGTCACTCTGCAGGTGGGAAGGAGGAGGAAGGAGCACTGGGGAAGGAGGAGGACATTCCCCGCTCCATGCTGGAGGGCTGCTGCGTTTGCTCACCGACTCTTGTATGGTCATGTTGATAATCTAGAGCAAGATGGGTTTATTCCTAGTGAGTTTAACGCTAAGGTAAACTACTAGAAAGGATATGCTCATTTGGGAATAGAATTACCTACTCTCAAACTTGCTGGAAAGCCGTTAAGCAGAAGCGGCTGTCTGTACAGACATCGTCAAGGGCCTGGCTTTTAAACTGGAACTAGCAATATGATATTTGAATAAATCATAAAAGCAAAGTAGAAAAAAATACAACGTTTAAATTTCCATTCTACCGCTTTGTTGTGTCGTTCTATTGTTTTATTATGATTTTATTAGTTTATTCCAGACTGTTTTAAGTGGCATCATTTGCTGTGTCTGTTGTCACATTACCCTGGTTTGGATTTCATGTCTGTTTAACTTCTACAGAAACGGCTCAAAGTCCACTAGAAATAAGAGAATCCTTTTTGGTGGATTCAGATAAGCTTTCCTTCTGACCTATCAAGTGTATAAATGTCGTGTAACTTTTATAGCAACAGTTGTAAAATCCTTGAGATCCAGAAGATGCACTGGTGGAGTGATGTTCTATGTAATAACGTTCTTTCTTCTTCTTGTAGGTCCTTTTGTTCTGCATCACAGCTGCTCTGTTCATGTTCTTTTTCAGGTATGTTACTAGTACACCTATTTATGTTTGTAAAGATAATTTCAAACAGCATTTCTAAGAGCTTACTTGATTTTTCGTATTCATCTGAAAACTTGTATAGTCTTGAATCCAGCTTTCTGAATTGAGTGCTTCCATGGAATGAAAAACCCAGTGCTGTGAACATAATTGGGCTAAAAAGTGAAGTGCTGAGTTAAAAGCTTTAAATCGTCTGGAGATTATACCGAATACTTAAGGAGCCTCCTCTCATCTCATAATGAAGACCCTGGAGATCTAACATTGCATAGTATGAAAACAGCTGAAATACCGCTTTCAATATATGTTCTTAAATGGCTTATGGCAGGGGAGATAACATTTTTTCTTCTGGTGAAAATAGGGTGAACAGGAAAATGAAATTTTACGGTCTTAAATGATATCAAATATTTGACATGCATGCAGATGCAACTACGTTCTTTTAGTTTTAGAGTAGTCTCATGTATATTTTCACAAGTTCTCGGTTGTTTTCCTTATTTTAAGACATACAGTAGTAGGGTTGGATCAGGCATTTATTTTTGTAAAACTTTTTATCCCCTCTCAGTTTGCAAGATATAAGTAATAAATCACATACCTTGTCAGTGTTTCCCCTTTAAATACCAGACCTCTCAAGTTTTCTGTATTGTATCTCTTATTGGAACATCGCTTGTTAAAGTAACCTTTGACTACAACCCTCTGACTTAGAATTTTGTGGCATGGAGCCATCTATGGTTCTTCAAGCCTTAGGATCCCCTGGTGATTGCAAAACTCTGGAAGCTGTAGCTTTTTTTTTTCCTTCGTAATTCCATTACTTAAGAATTACTTGCGGATACTGGCCAAGAACAGTCTGTGGATAAGGGAAAGCTATTAATTTAAAGGATTTGAAGAAGCATTCCTCTCTTCATCTACCACCCATTAAGACCCTTGTATTGGCAGTCTTCTCCTTGCCTGATTTTCGTCTACTTCCCGGAGTCACGGCATAACAGCCTTGGAGAATTTGACTTGTAAGGTTGAGGTTAGACACCTGTCCGTGTGAGTGCTGGTTAAGCCAACCCAAACCATGAAAATACTGGTCAAAGCTATAATGCTGTATGATTCTGGGGGAAGCTAATTGTCTCCTGTTTATGTCTTTGGTAATAACTCGGTGTTTTGGTGTTTTAGAGACAACCTGGCAGTTAAATAGGGACTCACCAGAGCCCAAAGATACTTTGTGAATTCCTCCCTGACCTGACACAGTAACCTGGCAGTTGAATGGGCTCCAAACTAGGTTCCCTTCTAAAATTAGTCCTTCCATGCCAGGGTTGATTGGTGTCCTGTTGAGCAGTCGTCGGCTGCATTTAATTCCTTTGTCTTTGATGTGGTAATAGGGGAATTAAAATAGAAGATCAGGTAGTCATAAATCCATCAGTGTAATTCTCAGGAAAAAAAAAAAGCTGTAAACACCAACAAGAATGGTAAAGCAAAGTAGATTTATCAAAAATAATTAGCGCAGAGCAGTTTGTTGTTTGTTTTTGTTTTTGTTTTTCTCCTTCTGAGTGTAATCAGTATTATGACTAGAACTTCTTCCCAGTGATTTGTGTGGTACTTTGCTAAAGAGACCAGATATAGACGGTCTGGGTGAAACCTCTGGGTATGCACAGAACTCTCTGGGCAGTATGTGGACAGAATTGTTTTCAGAGGCTGACCATCAGATAGAGGATGTGTTGACGAGGACCTGCTCAGGTCTCCCATTGTTTAGAATGTCTATATTTAAATAATGACAAAGACAACAGAGGAAATGCACATTACATGTGTAGGTAAAACTGCTGGCTGGGAACTGAAGTTACGTTGAAGAACAGACTTGGAACTTGGATAAACACAAGCTGGAGATAGGGTCTGAGAAACTGTTTAGTAACAAGAAGGTTGGGGCAATATGCTTACAGTTGTGGGGAATCAAATAGTTAAGGAAGAGTTCACTGAAAAAAAGGTATGTTGCATCGTGCCAGCTGAGTGTAAGTCAACAATGTCACATTCCTGTAGCCAGGGAAAGGCTGTAGCGGGATGTATAGAGCTTGTGAGACACATAGAGTTGTCTTTTTGTTGTACTTTAAGAAGTTCTCAGTCCGTTTTTGTGTCCTTTTTGATTGTTACATGCCAGGAAGAATATGGAAGAGTCAGAGAAACCTCAGAGAGTGGTCTGGAGTTTGGAAAACATGGCTTATTTAGAAGGATAGATTGTATTTGCTTAGCTTAAAAAAAAGGAATGGAATAACTGTCTTCATGTATGTACAAGACTGCTGAAAAGAGGAAGAGAATAAATAGTCTGTTCTCACTGGCCGTGATAGGAGAAGAGATAACAGAGCAAGGCATTTCTTCTTACAGTAATAAATTGCAGCAGGGTTGAGTTCACTTAGGTAGCGAGGAGGGAAAGCTTAAGAAGGAAGCGGTGAGAAGATTCCCTGGCCAGGTTACAGGTTGTCCTTTCAGATCCATAGGGACAGATTTTGGATAATATGGGTGTTACCGCTTAGGGACAGGAATGGACTATTTGACTGCCTGAGTCTCTTCCACTTCTTCATTCACATCAATGGCTGTCATATCGTGAAAGATTTGATGTAAGAAGCTGTCAAAGGCAGTGGCTGGTGAAGTCTTCATAGGAGGATAACCGTGCTGTGCTTTGTTGAGTTTGACTTGAAAGGTATACCTGGAAAAAATTCCAAATGACAGCTCTGTGTTGTGGAAATCACCATGTCTTGTAGAACGTACAGAATGGAGGCAGGAGGGCAGGCAAAGGCAGGGAACACCTTGGCGGTCCAGGCGGGCAGGGGCTTCTCGGAGAACTGGTAGAGAGAGAAATGTGACTCTTCTACCACACTGAATTAAAATGTCCTTCCACAATTTCTAGTCATAGAAACATAATAGGAGAGGTTCAACCACTCAGGGAGAAGACAGAGAAGACAGAGAGGTCACTCGGTCAGTCCTCAAAGGTTTTGCCCAGTTTGTGTGGACTGAGATTGTGAATTGGTCGTTGTCTTGTCCCATACGTGAATTCATCATTGATTCGCTTCGTTAGGATTTTGGACAGCCCTCAGAGGAATCAGCTATGGATCTATCCAGAGCCCTGGGGGAGGCAATTTTCCTGTCTCAATTGGTGTCTAAATTAGAAAAGAATTGGGAGAGTTGTTAAACTGCATTTCCTCTGGTCCGTGACTCAAAATCACTTCAGCCTTTTCCTAATCACAAGCAGATCAAACTGACAAAATCGTGTTACAATTACAGTACTTTCAGAAAAGTCTTAGAAAAACACCATATTCAACGTCAGATCTGCTTGGCTTGGGGAATATCTTCCCAATGACTATAAAATACTGTTCACTGCTAACAATGGTGTAAGCTGAAGCTTAAAACCTTTCTGAAAAGAGAGTGTTAATGTCCCCAGTCAGTTGCTCTGGTTGGCACTGGCATTCCAATTTAGCCACTATTTTTGCTTTGTGTAGTTTCAGGCTGGATCGTTGTCCTTGCACAGCTCATACCATGATGCCTGGTAGCTGGCATCAACACCACCAGCCAGTGGTGGTCAGTGATTGGGACAAGCGTGGAAAGCAGAGATGCTCTTCAGCATTCACGTGGACTTTTGTCATTGTAAACTGACTGCATACCAGCATGGCCTAGGGTGATTTTTACTGAGCCTGTAACATGACCATTTGGGACATGGTTTAGCAGGCATGGTGATGTTGGACAGTTGGAGTTGATGATCTTGGAGGTCTTTTCCAACTGTAATGATTCTATGAGTCTATGAAAAGTCGAGTTGGAAAGTTCAAAGCTGTCGTCTTTGTGGAGGAATTAATGTGTATTCTGTACATCGCACAACTTTCAGGATACCTTTCAGGTTGCCATGTTAAGAACAGCCTCTTAAATTGAGCTTGCATAGTGTTGCTTTTGGAAGGGAAACATTGCAGTTGATAGTTATCCACTAAAAGAGAACAAAATCAATATGCAGATAACTGTAACATGACCATACCTCTCCCTTGATGTGGGTATTTTCCTACCCACACCAGCAGGAAATACTGCCGTACCAGATGGTTGAATCTTGGTCTGTGGAAGAATAGACAAGTTCTTCTCGATTTATTGAAATATTTACTTTTCTAGTGTAATGAAGTTTCTCAGTATCTCATTATAATGTCTATCTTGAATTATTTCAAAAACAAGTACTGTAATGGTCCTTTGGCCAGGCAGTTATAATTTGCTGATGTTGTCTCTGGCTGCCAACCCTTACACGTCTGAGGAGTAACGGCTTAAAGCTAAGGGAGGGTAGCTTTAGACTGGATATAAGGAAGAAATTTTTTACAATGGCGGTGGTGAAACGCTGGCACAGGTTGCCCAGAGAGGTAGGGGAGGGCCCATCCCTGGAAAACCTTAAAGCCAGGTTGGACAGGGCTCTGAGCAACCTGATCTAGTTGAAGAAGTCCCTGGTCCCTGCAGGGAGGTTGGGCTAGATGATCTCTAAATGTCCCTTCCGACCCAAATCATTCTATGACTCTATGATTTCTGCCTCCAAAGCAGCAGAAAGGCTCAAAAGCCTGTGTCATGGATCTGGGGAGTGTATTATTTAAAAAAATTAAGTGTTCGGATTATCTTCTTATCATTTGGAATAGAAGAGGTTTCTCCAGTTGGAAAATGAATGCTGTTTACTGTCTATTGACAGACTTTGCCCGTGTGTTGACTTGCTACACCCTGATTCTCCCAGCCCACCCCTAAGGCAGATGTCTTGCACTAGCTGAAAACTTCACCACGCAGCCTTGAGATTGATCACTGGAGCTTCCCCAAAACTCTGTTGAACTCTTCAAATATTATTGCATTGATGACAGGACAGCAAGAGAAGAAGATGCTAAATCTCAGAGTTAGGAAGTGAGGTTACAGAACTGAAATGGTAGAAGAAAAACCGGGAGTAATTCCTCCAGGAGCAGATAAAGTCAAAAAAAAACGGAAGAGCAATATGGAAAGGAAGATGGAAG